TTCAAGTGTTTTGGTAGGTATTTCAAGCTTTTCTGCTCCAGCATTGGAATGCGGGGCATGAACGTTTTTTATTTTATTTTGAAAATCAACAGTTTGCATTATGCAATTAAAAATCCTAACCAATAAAGTAGGGAATAGCTATCCAACTGTTGTTTTAGTTGTATGTTACTTCATATTATAGTTATATCAATGTAATCATTGTTTTCCCTTGTGTTTCTCATTCTTTCCCTGCCATGTGGTAAAATGTGGTGAACCCATCGCTGTATTTGCTCCAAAGCAAATATTGGCCTTTCTAAGTTTTATTAAGGTTTCTTCTTTGCACTGGAATTTTTTTTCACCCAACTCAAGGTGAAAAAAATTCCAGTACAAAAAAATAACTCTGATAAGAAAAGCCCTAAAAAATAACCCGAAACCCTAACCTTTGCTGTTTTCCATAATAGGACTTCAATACATGTAATTTGTAACGTGAAATTTATGGCAGTTCTGTTGGTAAGGTCCTAATTTTCATAATCAGTACAAAAATGCTACGACTCCTTACTTGTAAATGAGGGAATCTCATATTTGTGGCATGTGTTGAACATCACCATGCATGAAATATGTTAAAGTCATTTGCATCAAATTTACGAAAGCTCTAAATATTTCATAGAGGCAAGAGGTCCACAAATTCTAGTTCTTTTTTTTAATTTCTGTCCCTTAGGCCACACCAATTTAATTTCTTGGTTAACGGATTTTGTAGAAAAATAATGGAGTGAGCAGGCGAAAAAAAATAAAATAAGAACAGGCCTTAAGGCATCCTATTATGGAACCCAAAATGGTACGATAGGAGCCATGAAATCAACACACCAGGCTGGTTCAAAATTTAAACGATGAATTTTGAACTTTTAATGATACCACTGCATTGAAAGATGGAATAACTGTAACAACCAGGAAGAAAAGGGCTGTTTTCAACTGTTCAGAAAAATTCAGAATCAACTGCAAAATGCTCACATTTTGCAGTTGATTCTGAATTTTTATTTTATTTGCAAATCAGAAAAAATGAAGCGGGCGAATCCGTTAACCAAGAAATTAAATTGGTGTGGCCTTAGGAGTGACATGTTGTTGTACCTGTTGATTCGAGCCCAGTCAGTGTTGGACAGATCCTGGTACAGACTCTGCTGTTGTTCTGGGTCCAGTTCGTCCCAGTACCTCAGCAGGTGTTCCTGCCCATGGCTCCTCAGGTCTGCACGAAGGAGATCTACATCCATGGTGTTCACTGGTCACTGTATGGAACAAACACAAAAAAACAACCTTCAGCATGAAACTGGAGACTGCACACTTCTGGGAAGTAACGTTACATGTATTGGGGCTTTAGTGAGTTGATTGAAAGGGCACCCATTAATTATGTTATACTAGAGCAGTGTATATAGTATATACACAGAACCAGTACTGTCCTGCAAAAATTTGTTAATTTGTTTATTTGTTTTTGGGATTTTTCACAAGCTAAATTGACTGGGTACAGGTCAAAAATACCTAATTACCTTACTGAGGTCTGCTGTACCTGTATCAAGTTACACTAATTATATCCTTATCAGTGGTCAAAAATTAGTAGCCAGTCCCCCATTGTATTACAGATTGACAGTGTTAACTAGCTTGAAAAATCTGTAGCATTTTCTATGGATGACATCCTCTGAAGACCCCCAAACTAGTGCAAGTGGGGGAATAAAAAAAGGTACTCCGGCCAAAAATAAAAATGCTATTAAACCACAGGAATACAAAGCTGGTAATGCGAATTTCCTGCAGTACGACAAGCCAGCCTTATGCGGAATTTATGACTTGGAACTGCACGTATGTACTGAGTTCTTGAGTCGTGGAGCTTCGGTAGCCTGGATATGCCTTCCTCCAGAGTAGTCGGAGTTGTTGCTAACTACCATGGACTACCCAGGTGTAGAGCCAAGCCAGAGCCTTGGACGATGTGATCTTTTTTGAGGGGGAGGCGAAAATGATTTTCGCCTCCCCCTCAAAAAAGTGTGCATAGATTTAATCTATGCGCACGCGGATGTCATCTGTAAAATTAAGTCGGTGGGGCCTTATGCTCCCTCTAGATATCACTTAGGTGAGTTTTTGTTGCATGAGGCCACGAATGTTGGGGATAAAACTAAGACATCTTAGGTCTGCTTTATAAACAGATTTTCCCGACAGTGGTGATATTTTCCGCTTTCACAAAACCACTAGTAAGTCTAGCAGGACACCTGTGATGCTTGGATTGCTGTCATGACTGAACATGACCCAATTAAAATATACACGGAAATTTTTAAAATTTATATACCGGTATTCATCCTTGTTGATTTTTAAAACGTTATTAGACCTAGGAATAAAAATGGTAACGTTACATGTTTTCTAACCGACCTTAGAAAAACTGCTGACCCTTGCCTTTTTTTATGGACCCCATAAAGGGGTGTAAGTGCTGTAAGCTTGCCCTGAGGCAAACTGAGGTTTAATCAGTTACTCAGCAGCCTGTCTTCTTCAGTACAGTATAATTAGGGCTAACTAGCTAAACAAGTTGTTCACAATCACATTGTTGTCTCACTACTGGTGTCTGACACTCCTGAAGACACCTTGCAGTAGAAAAAATGCGTGAGCAAGGAAGTTTGAACCATCTTGGTCTGACCAAGGAGGTTAAAAAGTGAAAACTCCTGTCCAAGGACATTACGTCATGTCCTTGGTCTGACTGAGGAAGTTCCGCCCGAAGCCACGTCAGCAGGTCCATTGATTAAATGTCCGTGTTGCTGAGATCGGATCACGCTATCCATTGTTGTACGGGAGGGTACAAAGTCCACGGTCAAACATCCGCCTTTGCTGCCTCATAACATATACACCATCTTCTACACTTTCACAAATGACATAGCAGGAGTTCTTATGTATACATATATAAAAGCCTAAAATACACCCAAACGACTGAAATCTCCAAAGTTACAATGAATATGAACGTGTGCAGCGCCCCACCCCTTCGCCACTATTTAACTTTCCTACTTCGCTTCTCGCCGAGCTTCACGTTCACTGCCGCGCGTTCGTCTTCACCCGTCACCCGATCAAGCGTCTGGTACACTGCTGAAGTAGAATTGCAAAGTCTAATTTAAAAACGTGCCTGGTTGTTTGAAAAAAAGTGGACAAACCTACAAGGAAGTACGTTCTGCTCCGCTGCACCGCACCGCTTTAGTTCCGCCAGCCTCACACCTGACCGTCTCCTACTGCAGTTCATGCAAACACCAACCAATCACATGGCTAGTTCAAGCAGATGTTAGGCGAGAAGCTCGTTGTTCATAGTTTCATCATCTGCATTCACTCCTACATCTGCACATCTCCTTGCAACACTTCCTTTGACGTTAGACTTGCCATGTGGACTAGGGATTCATTCACAATGTTCAGGTTACTTGGGTACTCATGGCTTTAATACCTGGCCGAAGGCATCTTTATAGGGCAGGCGCTGTGTGTTCACAGACATGTTTTCGTCTTTCCGTTATGACCTCCTTGGGTTCTCTGTAATAAACTGCTTGGTGTTTTCTCTGGGGAATGCATTGGTGCAATTTTCGAAATTTTTGTTAACGTTATATTTTCTGAGCGATCGTACTGCTGTTAAAGAAATGCCTCCGCTCCGGAAGCGTCGCCAAAAAGGTGTGAAGCTTTCCCGGCTTACCAACACAAACTTCCATGCGAGACCTACCAACTACGCCTGCGCACTTGAAGACTGATGACACTGGTACGAAAAAAACTCACTCATTTTGGTGCGACCTGGACCACGGGCGACTTTCTCACTCAAGAAACCAGCCTTCCTGGGAAGTATTTGGCGTGTTTTGGGGACGTGTGGCTGAAGAAACTATTTATCCGCACAAATAAGGTGATTGTTCAGTTTAAAGTTCGTATTTTGAGCGTAATTCCACGTTTCAGTCAAGCAACCCGAAATGGAATTTTCTAGCCGTGGCGGCTGTTGGCAGTCTCACAACACGCAGGCTTAAAATATCATTAGATTGATTTAGACGGCAACCTACAACTTGTACAAGCCCTACAAGAGTTGCCTAGGATTATTCAACTGTACAAATAGTTTTTTGCGGAAATTTGCAAATTGTCGACATTTCAGGGTATGAAACACAAAAAATATCACACTTATCCCCAGAAGCCAGAGGTGTCTGTGCACTGAAAGAGAAGAGCGGCCTAAACTGGAACTTAAGCTCCTACCAGGCCGAAGACATCTACTCTACTCTACTCTACTCTTATACCTTGAACCTCTATTTCTTGTTAACTTAACATCATTATATTAATGTTACTCATAACATTCTAACATACCTTGTCAATAACTCCGTTGTGGCATTTTATTAGTTCATAAGAGAAACAGAATCAATGCAAATTGTGGATTACATTTGCATATAATTTGTATAAAGTGCAAGGTCATAACATTAATAAGGGCCCGCATGCCCTTTTCCATAAATTGTAATCGGCCATTTTAATTCTACGTAAAGCGCCACTAATGGGTATGAAAACGTAGTGTCAAAACTAGATGAACACCTCCGGCGGGATGACACAGGCCGACTGTGGGAATCCTTTGTTGACTTTGATAGTTTTAGCCGAGGTTCCTTGCCGATCACTGAATATATTTCCCGTTTTGACATTCTCTACAACAAGCTGAATAAGTGTGGGAAAGTGACCCTCCCCGAGTCAGTACTTGGTTTGATCCTAGTTAGGCGGGCAAACCTGACCCCAGACGAGACGTAGAGCGTAGATCGTCACTAGATGGATGCATGTTGCGTAGAGCGTATTCCCGTTTTAATTCTACGTAATGCATTGTACTGATTCATTGTAATTAATCGTAAAGCGTAATTGAGTGCATTATGTAGTGTAGAGCGTTGTCGGGACACCCCCCCCCCCCCCCATCCAGGTTCCCATTAATCAGCAAGCAGATCTTTCTGTGGGAAATCGTAAGTTACTACTATTAACCAACTGCTAGGAAGACAGTCTCCAATAGTACTGTGGGCAAGACATCCAAATTATTTAAAATCCACAGACACTCAGCCTTGCCCTGCTAGTGGGTCTTAAATACACCGATACGTCGTCATGCAAGAAGCCCACATTACCAGTACCAGTGCAGGTTGAGGTTTGTAGAGAAAACAGGATGGACTATGCTGTTATTATAGTTCTTTAATTTAGAAATGGAGGAAGCACAAGTTGTGAGTGTATAGTTCATACCAAATTTCTACATAACCGGCTGAATTTAACCCATAGCGTTCAGGCCAAACCCCTTAAGAACCTCACCAATGCTCCTCGTGAGGTGGTTTTTGAGAAACGATTGATTTGCATTCATGCCAGGCTAAATTGGTTTATCCCTTCTAACTTCTAAGTATTCATCCGGTTATCTAAACGGTGCACATCCCAGTTCTTCCGTGACCGGGGACCGTGGTAGTGCGCAGTAAAAAGTGACGAAAGGGTTTTGAGGGTCCAAGTTTGAAGTGACATAAACTGACATGAAATGTTATTAAACATTAACATGGCTGAAAATCTCTTTTGGCTCGGGGTATTCTTGCGCGCCAAGTGTAATCAGCCCGTTTGACCTAGATTTCAATCCGCGCCTTCCTCAGTCAATTTGCTCTCTCTCCCTCTCTCTCTCTCTCTTTCTCTCTCCCTCCTCTCTCTCCTCCTCTCTCTCTCTCCCTCTCTCTCTGGTTTAACGTCTGTTGTAAACCAAGTGTACATTGTTCTGTTGCAGGATAGAAGATGAGTAGTTCAGAGGAAGTGTCCTGGATCTCCTGGTTCTGTGGCCTGAGGGGAAATGAGTTTTTCTGTGAGGTATGATTGTTATTCATGTCATTTCATGTACTTCACTTCAGATGTGCTTCAGGTGTACATGTCACTATTTTGGGATTTATAATACATGTAGAAATACGTATCTACATGTATCAATATGTTTAAGATTTTGATTTTGGTTATGATGCATAACTTGAATCTTTGTAGGCCACAATATTTTGGATGTAGTAATATGAAACAGAAACGTGTCTTTATCAGTTTATGGTCCATTTCATAACAATTCTAAAATGTGGTTCTTCAGGTTGATGAAGACTACATCCAGGACAAGTTTAATTTGACAGGACTGAATGAGCAGGTGCCACACTACAGACAGGCTCTGGATATGATTCTGGACCTGGAACCAGGTATGTTTCCATTGCCTCAGTCAACAGTGTGTCTGTTTGTCTGTGTTCCCACAATTTTTCTTCATTTTGCGATGGAATCAGCATACACAACCTGGTCGACGGACGAGACGCTCCTGATACTTATTTTTAGAGAGCAAGAGTCGCCGAATTTGAAAAAGCTGGGAGGGGAGGGGGAGGCTGTACCGAAACAAAATGTTGGTGGAGCCTGGTTTCTCGAAGATAAAGGATCAGTGCCGCAGTAAGGTAATGAACCTGAAGACAGCATACAAGAAGGCGACAACAATTGGAAATGCGGGAGGAACAGTTATTCAAACTCCAGTCATAGCCGATTAATTGGATATTCACCGGACAGGATTTTTACAAAACCGGTTATGAAAAGTCTGGTCTGAACGGGACCTTAGCAGTTTGAATGAGGAGGCCTACAGAAATCTCCATCATTTTTGTTTATGCTGCACACATCAGAACAAATTTTCACTCCTGTGAAATTGATGCTGTTTAGTGGGAACAATGTGGCTGATACACCAGGACAGCAGTACATGTCACACTGCTGAATTTGACACCTTGGGTGGGGCAAGTGTTTAAATTTGGGAAATTGCTGATGTATTTGTATTTCAGTTGATGCATTGATTGTTGCAATTGTCCCTGGTGTATTTTGTAGATGACGAGCTGGAAGATAACCCTAACCAGAGTGACCTGATTGAGCAGGCTGCTGAGATGCTGTATGGTCTCATCCACGCACGCTACATCCTCACTAACCGGGGCATCGCTCAAATGGTACGTACTACATCAGTTTAGGTTCTCGCTATCAGTCAAAAAACACTGTCAATGTACGATTGATAATTATGTTTACCGAAGGAAAACATATTGTTTTTGCTTCGTTTCTTCTTCTTCTCCAAGCAGTGACCTATGACCTGACCAATGACATGATTTGTTTACGTCTGTCACCATGGTGACTGGTGTTGGGTTACATAATGTTGCAATTTCATGGTCTGCTCTGCTGTCACCATATTTTTTGTATTATATACTGCAGTTAGTCAGAGACTGGCTGACAGAGAATAAGAGAATTATATAATACAGTTATATCTACCATGAAAAGGGCCCAAGATCTACCATGAATGTCAACTTGATATAAAACCTTAACTTAACGGCACAACAATTGTACAGGGTACAAAGTAACTACATATAGTTGCTTAGTTTCTTATTTCTAACTGGGCTTTTACCCTTTGTAGTTGGAGAAATACCAGCAGGGAGACTTTGGCCACTGCAGCCGTGTCTACTGTGAGAACCAGCCCATGCTACCGATTGGTGAGAAAATATTGATGTCTTGCTGCAATATACAAAATGTTTAGATTTAAAATCTTGGATCATTGCCCATGTGTTTGTTAGACTAATTGTTGTGGGTAGCTCCTACCAGCTTGGGATGAATGAATTGTTTTTAGTCCATGTCAAGAATTGTGCAGTGAACAGTACCACTGAAATGCATAATTCTCCTAAAACAAACACACAAGCAAACTGCCTTGGTAGCTTTGGCCTGATTTGAAGTGGCTTTCATGCAGGTCTACAAATGCAAAAACTACAGAAATCAGTGAGTTTTGTACCCAGAGTCTATGTTGCAGGACAATTACATGTATGTCACACCACTAGACTGCTCTTGAATTTACCAAGAATAGACTTCTGCCACAAGTATAGAAAAGGTCCCGTTCCACTCTATTGCAGAGCATAGGGGTGGCGCCCATCTCCATTAAAATGATGCAATACTACATAGTAAAATATTGATACAGAAATTACATTTTAACATGAATGATTTGAATGTTGGCATGGCAGTAGTGGAGATCCATTGAATTTGAATTTCTTCATTCCGGTGTTTGATTCCATGAAGTTCTGACAGTGAACACTAATGTTGTCTGTACAGGCCTGTCAGATGTACCGGGGGAGGCCATGGTCAAACTGTACTGTCCAAAGTGCCAGGATGTCTACACACCCAAGTCCTCCAGACATCATCATATCCTTTCATTTTTCAGTCTCAAATTAAGAGTACTCATGCGTAGTGCATACAGTAGGCCACACCAGTTTAATTTGTTGGTTCTCGGATTTTTTCAGAAAAGATATGGAGCGGCAGGGCGAAAAAAAATAAAAATAAAAACAGCCCTAGGCGTCCTATGATAGCTCCAAATGCTATTATAGAAGCCATGAAATCAACACACCAAGCTTCAATTCAAACAATGAACTTCAAACTATAGTATTAATCAAACCACCACATTGATAGATGGAAAAAAACTAACAATTCTGAAGAAAAGGGACTTCCATTAACATTTGGGGCAGAAACATGCACATTTGGGAGTTAAATCAGAGCTTGACATGTTTGTTTTTTTTTGCAATTCAGAAAAAATTAAGCGGCGAATCCGAGAAAAAACAAATTAAATTGGTGTGGCCGTAAGTAGTCATCTCTTGGACAGTAGGATCTGACAAGAAGAGAGACCATGTGTGGATGAGGGTGGGAAATGTTGATATGTAATGTTTACTTGATGTTTATACAGTATGGCTGAGGTGGTGTTTTATTTCTGCTTCAAATGATGCTATTCTGAAGATTGTGATTTGGACATTCAGAGCCTCAAAGGCAATTTAAGTCCAATTGAAATCTTCAAGGTAGTTAAGCTGTCCAATTTTATCCTTGGAAAAATGAAGTAGGCATGCTTCTTTCACTTGTCAGATCACAATAAGATAAGGTATTCCGTAAATAATTTCATTAGGTTGGTAAACGACTGAATAGCAAAGTTCTTTTTATCACAACCATTTATTTTTCACGAGTCAACGTTTCGATGACCGTCTGTCATCTTCATCAGGGCAATTCTGACTGGTTTACTGTGCACTGACCCTAGATGTTACTTGGTGCATAGTGCACTAAAGGTGTTACATAGTTCATAGTGCACTTTAGCTATGTAACACCTTTAGTGCACTGTGCACCATAGTGAGAGACCATGTGTGGTCTCACCATGCAAAAGAAATTTGCTATTAAGATAAGGTATTACAGTAGTATTAGTATCTGGTTTTGGAAGTAGGTGTGAGAAATACTACTGTGAGTCTAACACAGGTAGGCAACAGTCGGCTGGTGGAAGTTGTATATATCTTAACCATACAATCACATATAGATGGGGCGTACTTTGGCACCAGCTTCCCCCACATGTTGTTTATGGTGCACCCTGAGTACAGACCACAGCCTCCCAAGAACAAGTTTGTTCCCAGGTAAGCAAGACCATACTCAAGAGCTGTGTACTGGTACTGTACTGTACCAGAAAAATTCATTAGGTACGGGTCCAAAATACCAAATCCCTCAGTATCAATACTGTACCTAAATAATTTCATACTAATTATGTGCCTATTTGTGATCTAAATGTGTAAATAGCTGGTCCCCCATGGGTCCCAAAGTTAGGACAGCATGTTTGTGTTACCCTGAAAGATCTTATGCTCCCTCTAGATATCATTTTGTCAGGTTTGTGTTGCAGGGTAGGAGATAACTGAAATGTGTTAGTTTTGCCTATGTTTTGTATAAGAATTCTCCATAAAAAACTTACACTCAACTGTCAAGTTTATTCATGTTTCTGTCATTATGGAAGGAGTTCAGAAGAACATTGTTAATTTGTTGAATTGTTCAGGTACAGGTCCGGACATGTACCTAAACCCATGTACCTGTACCTTAAATTGTTTAGGTACACAGCTCTACCATACTCTAATTTATGACACTTTGTTCTGATGTAATACATGTATTTTTAACACTTGTAAAACTGCCCTTGTCAAACTCATCATGTTGTTTGTTTTTCAGATTGTATGGCTTCAAGATCCATCCATTGGCCTATCAGATACAAGCTCAGGCTTCCAACAACTTCAAGAGTCCTGTCAAAACACTGCGATGAATACTGCACATAGGAGGACTTCTTGTTGTACACATGGCTGGGATCTAAGCCTGGTACATGTACATCTAGCCTGTAGTTATTTCAACATCCAGAATCCCTGCTCAGTATCTTCCTTTAAATGTCTGAGGCACATTACCTCTATTTTTCTTATGTGACTTCAACACTGTTATCATTCTTTTATATTTTGTACAGAAGTGTGGTAAAAATATGCTTATTGGTTGGTCCAGACACACTTTGTGGATGCCTGATTTTCACAATGTTACCCTCCTGACCTGTGAACAAAACTTGGCTTCACCTTACAGTCTTATATGCTTACTTTATGTATATTGTACATGTACATTATGTACTTGAATAGATTTTGTACTTCGCTTACACCCCACACACCCATTAAGTCAACCAAAAAATTCCCTTATACCCCATACAAACTGTTAAAGAAAGTCCTTGTTGGTGCAGTATTCCTTTTATCAAGAGTTCAAATTGCATGCTTAATTGATTTCCTCCAAAAATTGAAAGAGATGAGTAGATGTGTGTGACCTTACCTGAATAGCCAGCATCATTGTTTTACGTACGTAACTTCTCACAGTTGTTTCTACATATAGCATGTGTGCTATCCAAACGTGGTGACTGGTGTAAAGCAGTCAATTAAAAATCATTATAAAATTATTACTATATAGAGGTGTGTTGCATATGATGTTTGGCCCCATAAAATCTCTGGAAATTTAGCATGACCACCTGGCAGAAAAGTTATTCCCACAAGAAGGGGACTGATAACCTTGTGTTTGTACGATTGTCACTTAAATTTAGATTTTGTCAGAGATGTTGTTTTTGCCAGTTTCAGTACACTTCGGACATATATTGAAGATTTAATAATATGCATGTAGTGTTGAAAGGTAAATACATCTTAATTCACTCTCTGTAAAAAAAGACCCACATGTCTGAGGACAC